AGTCGCACTGGCTGCCTCCTCTCAGCGGGAAGAGTTGTTGTGTGAGGCCGGGGCGGGCGGCCTGAGGCTTTTATATGCTCTAGGCGGCCCCGGCTCGCCAATGAGCTGAATGGAGTCCTACACAAACAGGGACATTCCTCGCATTCCTCCCCACCTTCCTGCCTCATCAACTCACACCGGATTGATCCTGACCCCTTGACACTCAGCATTCCTCCCGTCTGAAAAAGCTGGCACACTCCAGCTTACCAAAAAAAAAAAAAAAAAAAAAAAAAAAAAAAAGCGCAGTATTTCCAGTACCAAATAGGATTTTTTTTTCCTCTTGCTTTTTCGCACCACTCCTGATTTATATCATTTCAAAACACACCGGCAATGATTATTTTATTTTTATACCACTCGCTTCTGTTTCTAATAGCTATGCCTTTGCTACCCACTGACATAAATCCTTTGTAGGAGGTAGGTAGCTGAAGAGGCTACCAGCAGGGATTCCTAAAAAATTCGAAAGGGTTTCCTTTTTATTGTTTTTGTAATGGTTTTTCACTTTAGAGGCTGTCTGCCTTTGAAACTCTTCAGAGAGCAGAAAAGGAGTTGGTTGCTTTTAACTGCTTGAAATCCCCAAGAAGCAGAAGCACACCTGCAAATCCCTGAATTCCATGCTGGGGATATAGGAATGTGATCATTTGACACTTGAAATAACGGTTTGGATGCCCAGGCCCAGACAAGAGAGAGATAAAGCCAGGGGTCTGAGGATAGCTGCAGTTTTCTGGGAGAGGTTTCCAGCACTCTTGCTTTGTTTTCTCTTAATATATGTAGCAGTTTTATTGTTGGGGTATAGGGAGGGAAAAGGGATGAGTGGGCATCAACACTTCCAGAAAGATCCGTCTGTTGTCATGTCAGAGCAGATGATTATGTGTTGGAATGAAAAAGGAGCCTTACAGGAGGGGACCAGCAAGAAGCTTGGGGTTTACTTGGGAAGTTTTAAACACAGTTGTGGGTCTTTGAGAAATAAGTGAGTTTTCTTATACTAAAACCTATAATTGTCAAATGTGAAATGGACTTGGTTTGTCTTGCAGTAAAAAAAAAATCTGATTATGTAACAAAAAACACTGTACCCCATTATGCCTGTGTGTCAGTAAATAATATATTTTAGTAACTCTCTACAGATCAATGAATAGCCATTGTTACTTCTTAATTACTCATGGAGTCTGTAGCCTAAAGGAGTGAGATCAGGTCAAGGAAAGAACAGGTTTCGTTCCCTCTGCTTGTGTGCAGGTATCAAATCTGGCGAGTAAAGTCCATTTCTTAATATTGCTAGTTAGCTTCACTAAGGACTCAATTAACTGTGCTTTCGTTTAGAATCTGTAGTTTAGTTGCTTTTTTGCTAATAACTCCAGTTACCATTTTATGCAAAGAGAATGATTCTGGGATTATGTCGGTTCTTCCCTAGTGTAGTGCTACATCACTTGACACTGGTCTTACCAATGAGTAGATTCGTTGTAGTTGTTGATGCTTCAATGTATAGGTTTAAGATCAACACATCTGTTTCAGATGCAAAGACACGCTTTCAGAAACATTATAGATTTATAATTTGAAAACAGCCTGTTTAAACCAGCCACATTTTTTCAAGTTTCATTTCATTCTGTTGAAAAAGAGCCAAGAAAAAAAAATTACTCCAACTTCAGCACAGACCACATCATCTGTGCACAATTACCTCGTTAAGCAATCCACATGTTGTACAGTGCAGTTGCATGTCAACAGTGTGAATGGCCAGCGATGGGGGCCTCTGAAGCTCAGGAATAATTTTCATCATTGTTATTTAACGTTCTTTCCAAACATTCCTCAAAGAGAAGAGGCCTTAAAAGTGCCTATTTAAAGAAGGAACATTCCAAGTTATGTTAATAGCCACATGTGTATTAAAGGCAACTTGGCCCCCAACTTTTTCTTCCCCTATGGATGATTTTAAAAGTCCAAAATATGTGGGAAGCCACAGTGAAATCTTTCAAGACCAAAACCCCCAATTACATCTACCACTAATGGTTGGAAAGGTGTGGTGGATGGGGAAGGGTAGGGATATGAAGCTGGAACCTCACCCAAGGTGGCATGTGGGCTCTGTGCTGAGCTCTCTTGACTTGCAGGGTGAGGTAGATGGGAGAATGGTTGGGAATTTTTGAATCCTCTGGAGAGTCTTAAGAGCCACTACCAACAGCTTCATGTACAGCCAAGTGGAGAGACTCTCATTCATTCAGGGGATAAATTGCTGGGCTGGGTTACAGTTGGGTGACCTGGGTTGTATTCGTGGAACTGCCATTCACAAATTTTAGGGAAGTCACAAGTAGGAGCCATTTGCCTGAGTTTCCATTTATAAAATGATGATCATAATGAGAATGACTTATTTCATAGGGTTTAATGATAGTTAGTTAAATTTCAGTTCTCAGAGAATTGGTACTTTTTTTTTTTCTCTTTCTTGATTTTTTTCTTTCTCCACAAGCATGACAAGTATATTATTATTCTGCTGTGTTGTTAAAAATATCAGGACATATTATAAAAAGAATTTGGTTTTACTGTAAAATTCACATGGTCCCTTGAAGTCTCAAAAGTCCATACTTAGCTCCAATGGGATGGTTTTAACATTGGCTAAGAGGAAAGGAGCATATTGAAATGTACAGAACATGGAATCGCAGAAGGGAAAAATATGCTGTGAATTGTGAAGTTAGGTTGGGGCTTTATGATCAAAACTCTTTTGAAGGGTTCAAAATAAAAGATTATTAAGAGAGTGACAGAAAGCGGGAGGGAGACAGAAAGAATGGATACACCCAAGACATTCACAGACTCAAAAGTCTGTTTATATTGTGATATGGACCATCAAATGCCAGGAAATTCAAAGGGAAAGGCTGACACTTGGTCCTTCACTCCTGCTATGGGATCTGAATTCTTGAACTATTATAAATGACTCAGCAAATGTTTGTGTGTGCCTGGGCGGTAAAGTGGAAATAGTGGCTTCTTATAACTTCTTCCAACTCTGTCTTATCCCAACCCTTTTGATTGACACCAGGTCAGAATTGGGAAAAAAAAAGGTCTTTGAATGTGTGTGCAGAATGGTTAAGATGCACTAATTTTGTCTTGTAAGCAAGTGTTTCTCTAGCAAATGCTTTTTTAGAGAGCTTTTTTTTCCCCCCCTGGTAAAATGAGGAATTCACTGAGCTGGCCACTAAGTCCTATTTACAGAGCTATATAAGGTATGCGTGTGTCTGCTTAGGCATCGTTTGTACAGGTCTTTTGGTTAAGTCTTGTAAGATATTCACTGTGGATGCACTACATTCCTTCTCTTGTGTTTTGTTGTTGTTGTTGTTTTTGTTGTTCTTTTCCCCCCAAAAAAGGTTACTTGATCAGGTATCAGACATAGAGAAAACCTGGCAGGACTTCAGGAAAATGGCTAGACGTGGAGTGTTTGTGTACTTAAAGAAGGAATCTTGCACATTTCAACTTTCAGTCGTGTCGACATTTTCTTATAAGAGCAAGCAGGAGTCGGTGCCAGCCCTCAAAGCGGAAATCAAAGCTTCCAGGGAATGCGACTCAGAGCCAAGCCCCATACGCAATGCATACACTGAGCTGTCAGATTTATAGGAAGTCTGGCCGTATAAGGGCATGTGGACAGGGAGCGATTTGTCGTTCTGGTGGGTTGGGAGTGGGCTTCCGGTGTTTGCAGCATGCCTCAAATTCAATCATGTAAATGAATTCCACCGAAAAAAAAAAAGGTGTGCCAGAAGGCTTTTTGAAAAATAGTAATAAATATTATCCTAAAATCTTCAGGGACCCTGGCTTGGCTTACATTTCCTTATATTTGCTTAAGATGAAGGTTATAGAGAAGGTGTACCCTCTGGGAGTTTAGAGGTGGGAAAGAAGCACGGATGTTTACTATCTAAATTACGTTCATTTCCTCATGCGTTTCCTCTCTTATAATTAGTCCTCTGACTTTCTTAGGATATTTTCTG